TTGCGGGTGGTGATCACGGTTCCAGCTTCGGTTAGCATGCGAACGCAGTCACGGGGGTGATTGTGGGCAGGACCAAGGTACCATCCTTTTTCCCCCTTGGGTTGCGACTTTGCTTTTCTTCTCAACTTGAACATGGCTGGTTTGAGAAACGGGTATGTAGACCCGACAGGCGATGGGGAGTTGTGGAACATCTCGTAGGCGGATTTGTCTCCCTCGTTTGATTTAGTGGCGGTGCAGTTCAGCTGATGGCATGCACACGAAATGGCCTCGGCCCACAACCCGGGGTGGTTCGGTGCGTCGGGGAACAGTTGCGTCGCTTGGATGCGCGACGCAAGCGCGGCATCAGTGATCAACCCTAGCGCTCTCTCCGCTACACCGTTGTATTTTGGGGTGTGAGGGGGGGTGAACTCTTGTTTGATGCCGTGTCTGCGGCAAACTTCCGCAAACTGCCCCTGGAACTCGCCGCCACCGTCGGCACGTGCGATAAAATCCTCACACGGAACCCCGTTCGTTCGGTAGTCCGCCAGGAACTTCTCAAACCCAACCGCTGCGTCAGACTTGTGTTTCAAGAAGAAAACACGCGTCCAACGGGAGAAATCGTCTCTGATGATCAGTGTGTACCAGTTGCCACCAATGCTCCTGGTTTTCATCGTTCCCTCCAAGTCGAGATACACGCGAAAAAAATTCTGAACTGCGCGTGTGCTCGTGCACTTCTGGACGGGTTTCACCTGTGCCTTGGACATCGAACAGCCAAGACAGGGTAGCAGCGGTCCATCCGTCAGCTGCACTCCCTGCTGCTCCGCCGTGATCCTGAGCAATGTCTCGTGGGCATGGCCGTGCGCGAGGTGGTACTCGTTGAGGTCAGTGGGGTTGGCTGCTTTCGCATCGCCAGGAACAATGAGTGCGGCACAGGTGGTGTGTAGCGTTGGCTTTATTTGATAGCCTCGTTGGGTCAGCAGCTTTCCAGTCCGGGGGAACCACACCTCCCCCCCGGCTTTCGTGGTCAGCGTGAGGCCCCCCTTCATCCCCGAATACGTGTGGCCCTCCTCCGCCAACGAAGACAGCGAGAGGAGGTTGTAGGGGGCCTCTGGTACATGGGCAGCATTCAGTACTGGTACGGGTACTCCACCATCTTCCGCCTGTAGGACTAAGGTCACATCTCCGTATCCTAGAAGAGGAACGGGGGCCTTGTCGCCTCCGATCCCCTTCACCCAACCGCTACGCTCACGGTAGTTCACGAAGTTGTCTGCACATCGGAACATGGAGCACGTGGCCGCTGTGTCGGCCACGTACACCGCCTGGCCTTGTTCCACAACCCCCACTAGACCTACTTCACCAACGGTACCACACTCGCCTGGGGGGACTGCCACGGCACAAAACGCCTGGTCTTCCACGGAGTCCACGTCGCTCTCATGCTCCACCACTTGCGCTAGGACGGCCTCCTCCGTCGCGCACTTTTCTTTGGTGTGGCCCCACCCCTCGCAGCGCGCACACCACGGCACGAAGTCCTTCTCGTTGGTAGTGCAGCCGATCGCTTGATGTCCACGATGTCCACACCTAAAGCACCGGCCCGGGAACTTATAGTCCCCGCCACCGCCGCCATCAGCGCCTCCACTGCTGCTTCCCTTACGCTCCTCGACTCCTCCGGATCCGCCTGAGCGGCCGCCGCGACCGCCTCCGCCGCGGCCACGACTGCTGCTGCGGCCACGGCCGCCGCCACGACCACGACCTTGCCCCTGACTCCTGCTTGAGTACCGCTCCCTGCGGCCCTCACCGTCGGCGAAGTACGCTTGCTCTGCGCCCTTCGCCCCTTTTCCTTTCCCCTGCTCCAGCTTGTCCTTGATCGCCATGCATTCGATCATTACTTCCTTTAGCACACCGGTCCGCGTCAACTCCTTCGCGTGTCGCAGGTTGTGCTTTGTCATGGCATACTCGTCCGAAACGGCATCCAGGAAGAGGTGAAGGACGAACGTTTCGTTGACAGTTAGTCCTTTCTCGGTTAAGGACTTTGCGATTCGGAGCATCTCATTGAGGGCGTTTTGGGGGGTTTCACCTCTAGAGATTTTGGTCGACGTCAGGGACTTGAGGTCCTCTAACGGCTGCACAGATAATTCAGGGTCGTGTATGGTCTTGAGCTTACGAAGAGCTCCCTGGGGCGTCTCTGCCCTCTTCATGATTTTCCGAACATTTTCTTTCAACGCGTGAGACAGGAAGTTCCACGCGTGGAATGCGAGCTCTACTTGCTCGCTCCGGTACTGCTGTGACAGCGAAAACTTGCTCTTTCCGCTGTTGACGGGGATCTCCAAGCTCCGGCTCTCTTCAAATTGTTCCAATAGGTTTGCGCCATTAGCTGCCATGCGGAAATCATTTAGCCATTCGTTGAAATCTTTCGATTTTCCGCTGAACGGAGGAGTAGTGTACCGCACACTTTGGTACCCCGTCGCTGGGGTTGTGGCTCCGTATCCAAAGCCGACAACAGCACCACCATCTCGCATGGCACTACTATGATCTTGGTTGTGAGCAGCGGCTACTCTCACCTCTTGGGGGACAAAGCCTCCTGCTTCGCCGATGTGTCGCCCTGACGGGCCAGACTCTCGAACAGGTTCGCGCAGGTACCTCCCGTCCTGCGCACTCCCGGTCCACAGTTGACTCCGCGGCGACGCTCTCCCTAGCATCGCCGCAATCAGCGGCACCCTCCATGGTGCCAGCTGGCTCCTCCTTCTTGGTTACCTTCATGGTATCTTCCACTAACGACATTAGCTGGATCATCTGATCCGTCAGCGAGCTAACTTGCGTCCTCAGGGCCACGAGCTCTTCTCTTGACCTCGTTCTGTCTTCCGCCGCAGAGTCGCTGGAGGAGTCACCCCCATCTTTGCGACCTGACATTCCTAATGGACTCTCCCTCGAGGGACTGATACTAGTGTGTTCGTATATGTCCTTTACTTGAAAGGGGAAGACGGTTTATCTCTTGTATCAGACACGCAAGGGGAGTAGGGAGAAGTGGGCCCTCTTCACACGTGTTGTCGGGGGCTCCGCACGAAAAAAAGTCCGGACAAAAAACAGTTGACGGTACCGCGGTCAGTAACGACTACAGCCGGAGCCCCTCGGCGTCGGCACGTCCAAGGCAGGCTCACTCAACCCCATTGCTCTCTACGCTGCGAGAAGATCCGTAGACAAAACTTTGCAGAAGACTGGACAAAGTCATACCCTACGCCTGTGAGCGGTTCTTTGTTTCATTTCATCCCTTGAATGAGAGAAAGTAGCTGCGAAAACGTGTTGAGTGATGTTGCTTAACGTGGTTGCGCCGCACCCGCGAGGGCACCTTTGGTCCAAGGTTGTGACCTCGTAGAATTGCTCAAATCAACCGATACTTGAAGGTTGTGCGTCTTGATGGGTTAGGTATCGAAAACACCCGGGTAAAAGTTGGGATCGGCACCACAGAACGCGTAATCATCCTTGCCGTTAGTTGTGGACAATATGCGGCGGAACCTCGAAACTAGCGACAGGTACGGTCGTCGACACCCGCAGAGTTGACGTGCTTTACAGCTTTGCAGCTCGCTGATCATGGTTTCCATGGAATGATTATGTTGTGAACAGCTTTCCAAACATTCATTGGACACACCGCCGCGCTCTTGATTGTGTATCTGCCAAACTTTCGACAGGTTTCCTTCACATCATGCAGAGCAGCAGCCGCAGACACCGCTGTAGCGCTTGCCTTCAATGCGGACAAGACTTTAGGCACACCAGGGCTAGGACAGGGGAACTAGTTCGGGGCTTTCTTTGTGGACGAGGCTGGTAAAGCAGACAGATTTCCCGGGTTTCAGTCAGGAGCCATGGGCTCAAACTTGCTCGCACTACTATGGAGGGTTCTTAACGAGATTTGTTCTGTTGGAATATGCCGACATGCGCCCTACTTTTTCGGAAAATGCCGATTTCTTGTCGGAAAATGCTGAAAATGAAGCGTCGGAATTTTTCGGGCGCCGCTTCATTTTCGGCATTTTCCGAAGAGAAACTCCGAAATGACTCCGAAATGGGAGCACTCGAGTTGCACTGCAGTCGCCAGCACGCTGAGCACCCTCTCGCACTCCAGATCTCGGGGACAGTCCCCAGGTGGCTTGCTTGTGTCGCCTGTAAGCTTGTAGACCATGGATGGTCACGGAAAGCGCTGTGGATCTGCAGATTTCGCGGAGCAAAGGCGGCGAAAGCGTCGCAGCCTGGAGATGAACCCGCTTTCCGTGATGCGGGCGATGGCTGCTGCGGTGGTTGTCGTGGTAGCAAACCCGGCGACCCCGGCAGCTTGCGACAGCATCGTAAGGGGGCATCGCGAACCCTCCGCTTCTACGGCAGCGGCGGGGGCGGCCACGCGCAGCCGGCGAGAGGCGTGGCTCGGGAGAGGGTCGCGGCCGCGGCCGTTGTCATCATCAACGGCGGCAGCAGACTGCTGCAACCCATGACCCAACCCATGACCACAGGCAGCACCACTTTCGCCTGTGTTGTCGTATCTCGCGGGTCGGCGATGGCCCCTCGGCGGCCTGCCGCCGGTAGGTCCGCTGTTCTCGTCGCTCTGCATGTTTGTACGCTGGCGCTGCCGCCTGCCTGAAGGCTGTGGTGTGTAAATGCTGTACGTTTTCAAACCGAAAAGTCTGAGAAATTCAAAAAATGGACCGCCTGACGTTAAGAAACGTCAGGCGGTCCGTTCGGATTTCTCCGAAAGCCAGTCGGCATATTCCAACAAACCGAAGAATCGTTAAGAACCCTCCTATGTAAACGTTCGGGTTATCTGCTGGAGCTGTACAAGAAGGACGAGTGGGCACGAAGTAGGGAACGCGTAGCGCGCAAAGCAAAGCAGACGCCGCGCCACAGCCGAACCTGGAGCGCCGCTCGTGAACCTGTCACGCACGACAAACGCAGGCGGTTGGATTGATTGGTACTGTGCTTCGCCGGGGGCGGTGGACGCCTTGCGGGATGCTGTTGATATAACGGGTTGTGTTTTGGACATGTGCGGAGGACCTGAAGACGCGGTGGCACTGGGCTTTGGGGGCACGTGTGAAGTTATCACGAACGACTTGAGCTTGAGGTAAGGGTCGTCCTAAACGACCTCGGAATTTTACCTGCGATCGCAGGTTTCAGACCCCGGATCGCAGAAAAATAATATATGCGGGCGTTTTAAACGAAGCGAGCACAAAATTAAAAAAACCTGCGATTTCTGCGATTTTGGCGGTCAAACCGCTCCCGACGACCGCAGAGGCCGTACACAACAGCAGAGGCCGTACACAGCAGACAAACATCCACCATGGCCGACCAAAACAGTGTGACACCGCGGGTATCAAGGCCCAGGAGGGTTGGGTCCCTTCCTTTACGGTTCCAGACGAGCGGGGAAGCAGTTGCTGCTGCTGGTTATGGGTTAGGACGGCCTCAAATGCCTCCTGCTGTGGGCATCAGCCCTCCGCCAGGCATGTCTCGCGAGGTCGACGCCGGGAGTACCGCCGCTCGCTCAGCCCTGCAAGGTCGTCGGCTGGCGTCTAGGATAGACCAGTCTTCCTCCCTCTCTGTGAGAGGAAGTGCTTCTGCCGTTACAACACCGACCAGGACAAGGAAGGCCATCACGGCGGCCTTGATCGCAGCAGTAGAAGTCGTATCATGGTCTCTTTGGTCGGAGCGCCGCAGTCGCCGCCTTTGCTGAGCCGTCTGTGAGGTTCCCCGAAGCTCCCGGCGCCTTCTATTGTCGGCCATGAACCCTAGCCTACTCTGGCGATCAGTTCTGGGGGTTATAGTGCAGCTACGGGGGTGATACAGGTGGCTTGGTGTGCTGTGCCCGATCCAACGTGATGCTCTCAAGAGAATCGCAGAAATCGCAGGTTTGTACCTGCGATCGCAGAAAAGGAGCAGAGGTGATTTTTTCGGCCCTGCTCCCGACCTGCGATCGCAGGTAAAAAGCCTCCATATTCGCAGGTAAAACCTGTGATCGCAGGTTTCGCAGGTTTTTTTTGGCCGGTTTAGGTCGACCCTAAGAAGGTCCAGTTTTCGAGTAATGTCGTTATCGATGTTTGGTGTCCAGCAGTTTCTGTGTATGTATCAGTATGCATCAATATCCCTCTAGTTAAAGGCAATATACTCACACCTTTACTCCCTTGTATGTTTCTGTGGCCACAACAGGGTATCGCCAGGTTCCTACCTGGACGCGAGCCTGCTTTCTTTTCCGGGTGATTTTCTCAAAGCCCACTCCGGAAAGCAACCTAAAGTAACCGGGTCGTCACGAGCCCTCCGTACAAGGGTGCTGTGGGGTTTGTCAAGGCGACTTTGGCGGTAGCGGCGAAAGGCGTGGCGCTTAAATTGCCGCTATCCTTCCTGGAGCCCTGTGCCGACCGGGGTAGCTGGCTTGTAGATAGTCCCCCGGTTATGTGCGTTTTTTTGCGGAGAGCTAAGTACACACATGCTCACCATGTGAAGGTCGGAGAATTTTGGGGCGTGTGGTACACCGATGGAGGCTGCGGCAAGAGCGGGGGCTCGAGGCTTGTGTTCTGCCCTGAGTAGAGGGTGCTTATAGGAGGACCTCCGGGCTACCTGACGTTCAAAGAATGTTGTTTGTCGGTGGCGTTGATTGAGTGCAGAATGGTCTATATCTGCGTGTTCCACGAAGGGTGCTAATTTTCGCGCTCCATGAAACAAGTTCCAAAAAGTAGACTCAAAACCGCCCGCGGTTCAGTCACCACATGGACTTTTGCGGGTTGAATGTTGATGTGGAAGTGCATCGCAGCTTCGCCTACACAGGTACACCCTGCAGGTAGTTGAGTGTACAGCAGTTCTGATTCTGCAGGTGCCGAATGATACGATGCAAGATAGAGTACGAGTGTTCCATGTACCCGCTGTTGACGTTGGCGGGTAGGTGCACGCCGTGAGCAAGAGGTGTACGAAAACACGGTACTCATCCTCGACTTCACATGCATCGATGTAGACCATTTGCGACACCTCCGATATTCCGCTCGAAACACCTACAACATTGCATTTTTTTTTTTTCATCACACGTTACACAGACCTTTCATTTGTCCCCTCCCCGCACGAGTCAACAACCATTCCGCCGGGCGATACAATCAACTGCTCTCGGCCACTGGCCCAATCCATCTGGTCGCGCTGCTGCTCGTACTCTGCAACGTCATCCTCCTGAAATCCACCAATGGTCATGCCCCCGCCCAAACCGCCGACACCAGGCAAAACGTCACCCTCATCACTGGATTGATCGTCGTCGCTCTCTTCTTCAGATGATTCCCCCCCACCTCTATCGAATAGCATGACTCTATCATCGGCCGCTTCTACGCAGCAAGCGCGTTTACATTTGCACAGCTCTAAGCAAATTGACCCTTTCTGTATGCAGACGCATTTCGTACATTGACCCTTTCCCGGCACATCCGAACATGTACACTTGATCGTCTCGACCCCGCCTAGCCCGATAGTAACCTTCGGCTCCCTGCGCAACAACATCATACAACCACCGCCTACTGCTGAGTTCTTCAAGTACCTCTTGTCGTGCCATTCGGGAACTGAAACGGGGTAGTTTTCTGAGGCTCCCGAGCCTGCAGCACTAACCGGCACAATCGAGAGCCAATACTCTACTAGCAATTCCATCCGAAGGGCACAGAGATCGCGAACGTCGTAGTTCGGGGCAGCAGCAATCACTTGCCCTTTTCCGAAAGTCGACTCGGATGTGCGTTTGTGGACGGCAGCAACCCACGCACTTGTTTCATCAACCGCCCCTCCTCGTTGTTTGGGTCAACAGTAGGATCTACCTGGTGCCCGGGTGGATATAAAATAGCGTCTGGTGCTTTTTACAGTAAGCGAGGGCGACAAACTTGATCAACTCTTCCCTTTCCAAAGCCATCCCGGCACCAGCTCCATCTTTTACTGCATTCTCGCCCAGGGCCTTTAGAAACCGATGGTTCTCTGGGTTGGTGATATAGTCGTAATACGACGTGAACATAAAGTACGAAGTCAACCCGAAAAATGTCGGGATGAAGTCGGTCCCGAAAAAAATGTCGGGGCGGTGCCGCCTGCCGCTGATGATTCGGCATTTGCGGGGGGTGCGGCCGCAACGGTCGCCATGGCGTCGACGAGAAGTGCGCCTCCGACAAGACGTGCGGCGATGAGAGGCGTTGGCCTATGACGTAATCCGAAAAATAGGATTGATATCATGTCAAGTCGGGAATGTAGGGCATACAGTATGGGGAGAGGAAACTATGGGTGGGGGGAAGTGCCGGGTTCGCAAACGCGCAGCTCTCGACTGTTTTCCGCGCCAAAAAAGGCCCTACCTTTTACAACTCAATGGAGAGCCCGGAGAGCTGTAACAAGCCTCTGGCTACACGTCTCCATACAGTAGAGCAAGCCAATCTATTCTTTTCGCGGCACGTTTATTTACCGGACTGGAGGTCGCATGCCGAGCACTTATGCCATCGTTGTCGCTGCCGTCGGGTGTCGTCTCCTCCGACTCGATGTCATCGTCGGTAATGTCTTGGTCTTCGTGCTGGTCGGTGGCACCCGAGGCGCCGCGCTGCGACCACAGGCACGTGAAGGAACAACCCACTGTGAGCCTTGGAGTCAAATTGAGTTAATAGAACATCGGATACCGCTAAATAATGATCAGTGGTCACGATCTGTGGTCATTTACTGGCGATGATCGACATAGTTTCAAACGGGGAGGAGTGTTTCTCACCGGGCGTGTCTTGTCCGCCGTTTCGACGCGGCCAAACGGAGCAGTCGCGATGCGACCGATCACGCCTCCAACTCCACTGAAACACGTCCAAACCGCCGTGTGAATCATCTCGACCCCCCTGCGAACGAAGCCGTGCGGAGCAGTAGAGCCAAACCTAACCGTGGTCTCCTCCGTCTCCATCCCAGTCTCCACCCCCGACCCCACGTGTGCTCCCGCCGCGTCCTCCATGGCCTCGTCCGTCTCCTTCCCCTCGCCATCTCCTTTTCCCACGTCGTCCGCCTCTTCCCACAATCCAGCGAGGTGTAATTGTGGCCGGTATCAAAGTTGGCTAGTAGGCTCGAGCCCTGTACGGAAACAACAAAAAACGCTTCCCATCAGAACATTTTTTTTGTCGATTCTATACACGCGCTGCATATAATTCTTAGCCTGTCGATATTGAAAAGCTTACGTAAATCGTACAAACCTTGTCGATGGCCCTGCTTCTCTCGACGCGCCCATCCATGCCGCCGCCACCACCACCACCACCACCACCACCACCCGCGGTCGTTGGGCACCCATTTTTTCCCACGAGAACCCAGCCGTCTCCACCCTCCTTGGCTACGGCCGGCTTCCTCGCGGCGGCGGGCTTCTTGACCACGCGAGGCGCCTCGGCTGCGACAGCCTCCTGGGGGGGGGTGGACTCCTTGGCTAGGGCGGCCTCCTCCGGAGCGGCGGGCTCCTTCACTGCGACGGGCTCCTTGGCTGCGACGGGTTCCTCGGGGGCGGCGGGTTCCTCCGGGGCGGCAGGTTCCTTCGCTGTGACAGGCTCCTTGACTGCGGCGGGCTCCGTGGCTGCGGTGGGCTCCTCGGGGGGGCCGCCTCCTCCCGGGCGGTGGGCTCCTTGTGTGCGGCCGCCTCTTCCCGGGCGGTGGGCTCCTTTGCTGCCGGCTGTGGTACGTCCTGGAACACGGCCTCGAAGTGCCCAGATGGGTGCCATATCGCCATCGGGGAATGTGGCTGCAGGTCCTTCGCACCGTAGCACGGAACGCGTTCTCCCTCTTTCGTCGCCTTCACGAGTCTGAAGTTGTCTAGACCTGATACGACAGCCGCGGCATCCATGTGTTTTCCGTCCCAATATCCAACTTCATGTTCCACCACCATGACCCATGTCTCCCTCTTCAAGATGAGTAGGAGAGGGTTGGTCAACAATTCTTCGATGGGGCTCTCCTGTACTTTGGCGGTGCCAAAGGTGAAGTCGTCAGTAAATTGCCCACGCTCCACTGTGGGGTGGATCTGTGCCCGTCCGAGGCTGGCTACGTCGCGGCGAAGCTTGCGGATGCTGGCGAGTTGTTCCCGTTCCACGCGGGCTGTTCCGGGGGGAACCTCGGACTTGATCCGACGAAGATCGGTGATGGTGTGCGAACCACAATCCCCCCCGCCAGGGTTGGGCCACGCTCTAATGGGCGTGCCATCCCTTAGGTGATACATTGTTCACCTGACATTTTACAAAAATGAGAACCGAGTGTGTACATACCAGCTACTACTTCGAAATATGTATGAAACTTCGCTGTCTGTACTAGATAGTGTACTTACCTTGACCTTTGATATGCAACAAAACTAGCCCACACTACCACAGGAGGTTGTCATGTGGACGGCCGTGGAACCGCAGAACTAAATAGTGAATGTGCATGATTGGTTTCGTCATGCCATCAAAAATATTACACGCCTATGTACGTTGTCTGTCTGCCACTATGACCCCACTCCCTAGCACTGTCTCCATGGTCTCCTTCCCACCTGAGTCCACACGATTCAGCTTCTGGCCCAGGGTCGGCGTTCAGGACGTTCTCTACAGCGGTCAAGATAGAGCCGGACACAGATAACGGAAGATACCACACCCCCGCGCTTAGCTTTGGTCCAAGGTTGTGACCTCGTAGAGTTGCTCAAATCGATCGGTGCTTGGAGGGTGTTCTTCTTGGTGGGGTAGGTATCGAAAACACCCAGGTAAAAATTGGGATCGGCACTACAGCCGGAGGTGTTGCAAGGTTCCTGTCATTCCCTATGACGAAGCAGGATCCGGGGGGGGGGGGGGGGAGGGGCAATTTTT